GCTGGTGAGATGGTTATTTTCAGGGACTATGAAGGAGAATATACGTAATCTTGAAGTAGTATTGGCGGATGGTTCCGTTTTGCATACTCGAGGAAAAGGAACGAGAACAAGGTACCTTTCCCTTGTTTGTGGACGGGGTCGTTGCGAGGCCCTTCTTTGGGAGCGGAGGGTCGTTTCACACCGCCTTTTTACCCTCCGCGTTATAACTTGAGCACCTGATAGAGCGGCACTGTAGCACGTCCTGCCCATAGTCGCGTGGTTCCCCATGGGCAATATGGCTCGTCCATTAGACTTCTTCTCATTTTTTTATGAATAACAGGAAAACGACTAGTTCAGAGCGACTCTACCACCACCCCAGGAACGATTTCTTCCAGCCGAGACTCAACGTGACGTAGGCTTTGAACCTCCAAAAACTCCTCTCCGTTGATGTGGGAGGGGAAGGGATGGCGGGGGGAGAAGGGAGGTGTCCAAATCCAGAAACCATCAAATTCTTACCATATCGCAATCCGTGTATTCATAATAACAACTCTCAGTCCGAATAAGGCCTAGATAATATGTGAAAAGGGATAGTTATTCAGGAAGTCAGCAGCCGGCTACAATCTCACAGAACTTTTCACTGGTTCTGAAGGTACTTTGGGAATCATCACGCAGGCTGTTCTGAAGTGAGTTGCCTAGTTTAGTTTCTTCATACGTCCATTTCGATATTCTTTAGGCGAAAAGTGAGTTGCCAGTAGTTTAGTTTCTTCATACGTCATTCGATCCGTTCTTCTTGCGAAAAACACAACCAAGGCTGGCGCTGTTCGGATTGCTGAGGCCACCGAATGGTACTTTACAGAGCTTGTACTAGCTACCTTCTGAAGTCCTGTAAACTGCAGTGGCCAAAGTGGCTCCCTCGCTCCATTCGCAGCTTCCCAAGAGTTCACAACCTTCATCAAAGTTGAAGCCTGTCACTGAACATGAGCAAACAAAGGAATCAGTAGAAGTGCAAAATGGCCCTTCCATGCATTCACAGCACAAAGAAGCTTCTATGAAGCAGTCGACAGCTACATAAGTAAGTATTACTGCAAACCAACAGGGTTTCCTACTTGTGGCCCTGCACAAGAGGTCCTGATATTGCGCATCGTGCATTTCCGAGGTAGGGTTAGCACTGATCTCATGGGCGATCATGAGCCGAGATACTCAATCACTGTGAATTCCTCATCAGCGTTCCCTCTTTCACATATCAGAATAGCAGGTTTACTAATGAGGGACCTGTAAAGGTTGACTCCGCCTCTTAGGATCGGCCCGTACCTCTCAAGGGTGCCACGCTTGCCGAAAAGATGGACAGTCCATCTATTCGCCACCATACTCTTCCCACTGATCCAGCAAATTTATTGCATACTCTTTGCAGGCTTCCTGTTCACCCTTGAACAGCGGTTTCACGAAATAAATAATAAGCGATTTCTGATAAGCAGAAGGTTCTCACAGCGGATGAATTTAGAGGCAACCTTCGCGGTGGCCCTGGGAGACCCAGTGATGCTTAGCGGGTCACCATTTCTTACACAGCGTGTTACGTGGCGTCTTTTCAGTCATCTTTGTCCCTTAACTGTTGAAAACTGTGTGCCTGTGCTACCTCAGCCCCTTCCCCCACCACCACCTCTCGCAATATTTTCGTACAGTGTTTTGATGACGACTGGAGGAATAAGCCTATATGATGACGTTAAGGCTACACTCCAAGACCGCAAGCACAAGCTGTAGCTCTCTGCCATTTTCCAACAGTAGCAGACGCCGTGAATTCAGTCGTGGAAATTCTGCAAATTGGAATACCTATTGCCAGAATTGGTAATTTACCTTTTTATTCGCAGTTCTATGTCTGCTTTAGAGAATCCGCGATAATCGGATAGGCGGAGACGTGATGCCGTTGTGCCTTCCTCACCGGTGCACCGCTCCTTCCAATACGGTAGTATAGAAAATGAGGGTGAAGAGCTCCTGCTTGTATGGTGAAGAAGAATGGGAATGTAAAGAGCGTCAATGCAGAGGACGCAATAGCTGTGAATCTTTAGAATTCATGGATGATGTACAAGTGGCCGCATGCAACGCCTACAGTAAACTGAATCTAGCCGAGCAACCAACCCTTGCACTCGAATTTCACGGAATGGACGAACGCGAAGTGGCAGAAGCAAGCCAAGTTTGTTGGTGGGTGCTCAGTCTCAGACAATTTCAAAGCGATGGTGCTTTGACGTCATAGCTCTGAATACAGGAGAGGTCTGTGCGAACAATCAAGGTTCCGCGTTTGAATGGGCAACAGAACTGGAACAGATGGAGACGTTGTGGAGAGCTCGGCATAATGCTTATTATGCTGCATTAGCCTTGAGAACTGGAGCTAGGGTGACATATTATGATGCCATGCTCCCTGCATACGAGAGGGCGTGTGAAGGGGCTTGGAACCATGGAACAGCTGGCAGTGAAAGCTGCTCTGACTGCGCTCTTTTCACGCCCTGTCGTTTGCAGGAGTCATACAACTATACTAACAGCTAACGGCGATTTTCCACATCTGCTAACTAATTCAGACATAACAACAGTACTAAGTTCACCTTTAGACAACCTGGAAACGCAGTCGCAGGGACCCTGAAAGGCGTGGTCCACGCTGAACATATAGGCGG